GGAGAAGTAGAAACGCATTCTGTGTATTTAGAAATCGTATATTTATTCTGTCCGTTTGATCTGCTATAAAATCATTTGAAGCAAAAAGATAAACTTGAGGAAATTAAAGGTAAGCCCAGAAACCACTTTCTTAAAATAACAACAGTCAAAAAAAAGCTAATAAACTGTTTAATAAAGCATACGTGGGAGGAAAGGGGGATAAACTTATATTTCGTTGTCATCTCTCTGTTCTGGGCGAAATGGGTGCTCTGTGGAGCGCTCTCTGTGTGGCTGGTGACATTACCGTAATGATAATAATACGCGCGCACCGACATATAAAGCGCGGCTGGCTTGACTGCGTTTTTCCGAACCGCGGCTGGCTTGACCGCAGTGTTTTATCGGTGTAAAAGTTCCCTTTGTCGCCTACGTTACGTATTCGCGCCTTATATCTTACGTTACGTTACTGCTTTATTAATTAACGTTAGTGTTGCCACGTCGGAATATAATCGCAACCCAATTAGCAAAATACACTCGGGCCAGCTGCGGCGGCAGAAGCGCGACGCTGCCGTATCCGTGCACCGGAATCGGGCCGTGACCCGTGAGTAATGTGCGGTGTGGCCCGGAGCTCGCGCGACTAAAGTCTTCATATAACGTTACCTTGATATAAAACCTTTTGTTATTAATACTGGAAATTTGTAATTATCGATAATGTTTTATATTTTGAGGCCATTTTTCTAGCCACGGTTGACCGCTGAAATGTAATTTTAGACGGTTATATAAGTTAAGTTACACCGCCATTTTGTGAAGAAAAATCACAATTTTGTCACAGACAAAGTGACTGATTATGTAAACGTGGCTAGTTACAAACGTGGCGTGCGTAACGTTAAGTTTCATATCTTCGTTTCAGTGTCTAAGTTACATTAATGTTGAGGAGTGTTCACAAACTCTCATGTCCAGAATTGTTGGTGCTTTACTATCGTTTAACGTTATACTTATGTTAATGTAGAATTATTAACATACCACGTTGTATAAATCGACGTTTTAAGTTATACTTTGTTCTTTATTGTAATAATTTGTCTCATCTGTTCTGAAACTGGTACCTTGAGCTATTTTACCTATTTTATTAATATCTCAAAATAAGTAAATAGTTATTGCTTCATCTTATTGCTTTCCTGAAGTTTATGAAGTTTCCAATTGTCTTTCAGGACAAGATTGAACAACAGAATGCAGCCTAACAGCATCAGACCAATGAAGGCATGTCATATGAAAGCATGGCTCAGTTACAAGATGTAAGTATGTCTCATTATCTATACCATGGTTTTAAAGGCTTACATACTATTTTAAATTTGTAGGTTTTTACTTACAAACAACAATAAATGTACACCCACATGTTTAAAATTATTTTCTAGGTTTTCATCGAAAGATGCGAGATCAACTGAAGAATGCTATGGACCTGACTCTAAGGTACTCTTTCTAAACTTTCTCCACTTGATTAATATTATTCAATTCTAGCTTTGTATGGATTCCTTCATATTTGTTTGTATGCCACATCTTATGTTCCAGGAATTGATTTTACAGCAGCACTTCTCATGTTGCCAGCCTTGTTAAGCGAGACACTTCAACATTTGGTTGTGCTCCGGTGCGTATGTTGTTTTCTGTTTAGTATATGCTGTGATAAATGCATTTTATAATGCTTGATATTCTTTATATTAGGATGACGCAGTGGGTAGTGCTGTCACCTTACGGCAAGAAGGTCGCTGGTTCGAGCCTCGGCTGGGTCAGTTGGCATTTGTGTGAGGAGTTTGCATATTCTTCCAGTGTTCGTGAGGGTTTCCTCCAAGTGCTCCGGTTTCCCCACAAGTTTAAAGACATGCGCTATGGCTGAATTTGGTAAGCTTATTTGTCTGTAGTGTATAAATGTGTGTGTGAATAAGTGTGTCTGGGTGTTTCGTAATACTGGGTTGCAGCTAGAAGGGCATCTGCTGCATAAAACATGCTGGATAAGTTGGTGGTTCATTCCACTGTGGCAACCCCAGATTAATAAAGGGACTAAGCCGAAAAGAAATTGAATGAATGAATGAAATTTATATTAGTCTTTTAATCTGTGATACTTTTTTTTAAAATCAGTGAATATTAATTATTTCACTTTCTATGCATGTTGATTTTCTCTTCATCAGTGATAGAGGGACTGATATTAATGTAATTATTGCTTTGTCATTTACAGTGAACCATCTTCACCACATCCAACAGTTCAAGTACAGGAGGAGGCCACCGACTGGACAACTGTGTTAACAAGACGAGTCACGGCAGTCTTCAGAGTTGATGGGATTGCGATTGGCCGGGCTAATGATGTGGACGAATATACATTTTTGACATATCCATCTTATTAGAAGAACACCTTGATGTTTCTGCAGTGGAATATTTTGAATGAACGGTGGACTGTGACAAGCCTCGATCTACTCCAGTTACCAGAGTGATCAACCTTGTTTTTTGTTTCTCTACATGCTCTTGGGATAATCACAATCATCAAGTTAATCCAGCACACTATCATTCATGCATAAAGCAAATTTTTAAATAACTTGTGGTCCTAATGACTATCAAAGAACATTTTCCAGATATGAGTGCTTTACATGTCATGTTTATCAAAAACATAAACACATATTGTGTTACAACAAATTACAACTCCACTTGAGGATGATGAGGAGTAATCTACTGATGTTGAGGAAGAGGCTACTGATGTATAGTTTTCTGCACTTTTGAAGCAATTTATAGAGAAAGTTTGCCTTCATTCTGAAATTCAGAGAAAATGTTGATGACAAATTATTATGACCGAGTATTCTGACTAAAGACAAATACTTTGGACTTTGTAAAGTGCAGTACTTGATGTAGCCTGTGTAATGTGTTTATAAATCTTAAACAGTATTCTTGTGGTCTTTGTATTAAGTTAAGATTTAGTTTTTATTCTTATCTAAATTGTTCTTTTTACTGTTTTACATGTCTGCTTTATACTTGCTGTGTAATTTTATTTCTTAACACATTCAGTTGTGAGTTGTAATGAAATATTTCTACATTAGTAAATAAAAATGGACATCTGTGAACCAAAATATTTTATTTATTTATTTGTGCATGCAGTCACTAAAGGATCAAAATGCCTGGGTCAGTACCCTGAAAATGCTATATAATATAAAAAGGTACATTTCTGTACCTTCAGTGTCTAGGGTACAAAATTGTCCCTTAAAGGGTACAAATGTGGAAGGTACAATTTTGTACCTTTAAATAGAGGTACAAATTTGTACCCTTAAGGGTACCACCCCAGTGACGGGCCATTTGTACCCTAAAAGGTACAATTTTGTACCTTTTTTTCTGAGAGTGTAGCACCTTCCCAACTATGGGTTATTTTAACCCAATGCATTAGGTTATAGAATTAAATCCAATGCATTGGGTTATTTATTTATTTATTTTTATTCTCTTTTTATTGAACATTTTGATTTTGAACAAAGCCCGAGATCCACCCAACAAAATATGTAAAATCAAATAAAACAGTAATATTGTAATAATAAGTACAAAATCAGGATTGAAACATAAATGATACAGTCTCTCTCATATTTGACCAAAATTGTACATTTTTTTACTGGCTCCATTTATTTTGGCTGTGGTGTATTCCAGACTAATAATGTCCATTAGATAGAGCCTCCAGGATAGATCAGTGCATTGGGTTATTTTGATTAGATGCTATTTTTTCCCTATTCTGGTATTACTATAGTACTAATAATTTTATAATTACGGCTGTGTAAATAAATACCATACTTTTTTCAAAAATATTAAAAATGCTTTATTTCCATTACATTTTAGTTTATTTATTTTGATCAAATAAATTAAGAGTCACAAACAATGAAGAAATAGAACAAAGTAGAGAGTTATAAACAATCATGTGTTCATTGAGCAGAATATGGAGCTCTGTGTGCTGTAGAGGCTGTCCAGCAGCTGCAGCAGGCTTTACTCAGTGTCCACAATAACCAATACATTTTAACCACATCCAAATGCTTCTAAAAGATGGTCTTGGATGGTGAAATGGATATAAAAAACACAACACGAGAGGTAATTTGATTAAAAAAATAACAACAATATTATTGCTTTATAGCTTAAATAAACTTTATAACGCAAAAACAACATTACGCATGCATAATAATACAGCTGTTTTGTGTCAGTTAAATTAGTTGACTGTTGAAATTCAAAATTTTAACCCAACTGGTCGAGTTATTTAATAAATAACCAAATAAAGGTTAAAAATAACCCAACAAAGCACCAAATATTTAACTCAACTGGTTGAGTTTTTAATAAACAAACTAATAAAGTTTAAAAATAACCCAACAAAGCATCAAATATGTTTAACTCAACCATTGGGTTAAATAAATAACTCAGCGTTAGAGTGTATAAACAAGTAAAAATAATATTACTTGTAAAAAATGATTATTATAATTGTATTTATATAAAAAATTCAATATATATATAATTATTGGGATCATTTTTTTCTAGATTTTCTAGATTTTCTGGATATGTGTTTGAGTAAAATGTTAATATTTGTTTTATCACATAAAGGTTTGGTAATATGTTTATTTAAAGATTTTATTCCCAGAAAATTACAGTTGATCATAACAAATGTATTTGTTGTGATCAGGATTATTCCACCAAACATAGATTTCTTTATACATTTCTTCAATCATCTGAAGCATTGATATATTGTTTTGTCCAGAAATTTATTTAAACCTGACTGAAAACATGAAACTTTTGTTTTCTTTTATGCAAAAAAGGTAGAAATATCATAAACAATGGTTTTTAAATTCAGATAAACTTGATTTTCAAGTGGTTTAATTTTTTTCCATAGCTGCATATTTAGTCATAATAGTGAAGGTTTCATACAGAGATGCCTTATCTTCAGTAATGGGTATTTTGCGCCTCTTTTCAGAAAATGTTCAGTTTAGCGTTAAGCTAACTAATTTCTGTCTTGATTTTTCTTGTAGTATGGGAACTGATGCGGTGAATCCCAGGATTCCAACTGGACAATGATGTTAAACTCTGCCTCTTCTTTGCTTTTGATCCCTAATCCTCCTACATTAAAACAAAGTTTTAGCTTTTTTGTTTAAACTACTTATTTAAAATGAGCTAAATTAACACATTTTAGTTGTTTTTAGGACAACTTCATTGCTTTATGTTCAATCCACTTCAATTTGCAAAAACAATTATGGTAGCTTAATCGATTTGTATTGGGACAACATGAAGGAATTGTGTGGAACTCTGCTGTTTTACTGTGTAATTTGATCCCTATATATATACATATATACACACACACACACATACAGTATGTATAGATATTATTATTTATTTAAAGAAACATTGTGTTAGACTGGGACTTAACGCATCACTTACAACTTTAATTGACATCTTTGTGTCGTTCTGATTGTTTCTATTCTCATTTGTAAGTTATTTTGGTAAATTCATCTAAAAAATAAATGTGTTTCATATACATAAATACAATTTAAGAAAGCTCCCAGTATCTCATTTGCTTCTTTGTTTTCTCAAGCCACATTGCAGACAGATCCCACGTTCCCAAAGACAGAATTTACATCGACATAAATTGTGTTTTTGAACAAAAGCATTTTATTTTTCTACTCTTCTCCTTTACAATTATTGTTTAAGTATTTGACAGATTTCATTAGTACTGTAATTACATGTATAGAAACAATGATGTTTTCAAGCACACATGTAATGATGTTTTTATAATCATATACACACTACCGGACAAAAGTTTTGGTTTTAAAATAAGCTGATCCTGTTTACCAAAGCTGCATTTGTTTAATCAAAAATACAGTAAAAACTGTAAAATTGTGAAATGTTATTGCACTATAAAATAGCTGTTCAAACGTTGTTTATAATTTAATTTAATAGTTTATTCCAGTGATGTTAAAAATGATTTTTCAGCTTAATTACTTCAGTCTTCATTTATGTAGTTATGTTAATAGTTTTAAAATAGTTTATATAGTATTTTTGAAAAATATAACATTATTTTATTTAGGGTTTTGTTTGTTTTTCGGAATAGCATATATATATATATATATATATATTAAAAGATATTCAGATGTGTTTTCTTTCTTTAAAACTACTTTTAAAAGTAAAAATGTAAGGGCAGTGACTGTTTTGCCATGCTATATTTAAAGCTGCAGTACAGTATCGTCTTGCGCAACACAAAGCTGAACGCCATAAATATGGAGTTACGTCATATCAGGTAATGACGAAACGCCTTCTGTGCTGTTAAAGGTTTTTTGACATAGAACATGTGAAAGAAAACAGCACAACCACTAAGCATTTCTGCCTTTCTGAGTCACGTGACGCCCAGTGCCGCCTGTGATTGGTTGCCCGATTTGCCTTCACAAGATGAAAAAGTTCTAAATCGGCGTACATAGAGTGGAATTTAAATGGATAAAATGTAAGTAATTAAAGTGTGTGTTTTTATTTAGCTTGTGCCATTTTAATAATAACTTTTCGAAAAGACAAACTCCCTAGCGCTAAACCGTGGTGTAAAGGAACTTTAATCTCCGGGCGGAGTGCAGAGTGGGAGGGCTTGACCGATAAACAGTGCCATGGTGTCGCAGTTGACAAATCAGTGACGCAGAGCACGGCTACGGAAGGCTATTGAAACACGAGTGGCTTGAATTTTCGGTTGCGGGATCTCCACTATAGACCTGGCCCCAACAAACGAAACAGAGTCTTATTCTTCGTGGTGGTTTGTAATGTATGAATGGATAGCTGACGTATTATCGTCGCTGTTCCTGCCTCTTTCTGCTGAGAAATCCGAAGACTGGCCTAGTGAGCGCGCAAACGGTAAAGCGCGAGCCGCGGCCACAGACACTCAGCGGCAGGAGAACAGCAGGCCCGCCAAACGCAACTATCAGAGGTATTCGTCTTTTTCTTTATGTCTGAATGAAAATTTGTGCTTTTGTGTTTATTACACAGTGCCTTGCATAGACATGTGCCAGTCTGTGGTTTGTTATTGTAAGTTACCTGAACAATAGCAAGTGTAGCTTATTAGCATTTGACTTCAGGGTCAGGAATCAGTCCAGTGTAAACAATTAATCAATAGACGCTTGATTGACAGCAAACAATCACAATTAAATTAATGTTACACTATAAAGATAATGTAAATTATTTTTTTTAGATTGCTGTAGCATTAACTAGACTTTTGATTTGACAATATTTATTATAATATGCTTTTGTGTAAATGTGTAAACATTCGTGATTTTAAAATAAATTATTGTTTTAGTGTCAGTTTTTTTTCCTAGTGAGCCTAACGTTAATTTATGTTGTGTTTTATTTATAAAGATTATTCCTTTTTATAACATGTTTATCTTTTTATGTGTTTCAGCGTCTACTCCACTGATGGGGTGTCAGAATACCCAGAAGTCAAAAGAGCAAGACATGGTAAATGTTTTAAATATAAATAAAAATGGAAATGCACAATGTTGGAAAATCTGTAATATACTGCTGTAGATGTTGTGATATGGAAAATAGGGATGTAACGATTCACCTGACTCCTGATTCACGATACTAATCTCACGATTTAGTCACGATTTTTTAACAAAATAATTTTAAACAAATTTAAGGTGAAGAGCCTTTTTATTTTTTTCTTAAATGCTGCACATTTTTTGCAAAATAATATATATTTTTTGCCATAACTATATTGCTATTTTAGAATCAAATTCCAAAAATAAAAAAATAAAAGAATAATACTAACTAAAGAAGAAGACTCGTTAATAAAAACAAACTAAAGCTGTGACTGCTGGGATTTTACATTTAAATAAAAAAAGAAACGGTTGCATATCTTTTTTTTTTTTTTTTTTGGCATAAGCTTTACACATTTACAATGTCCCCTGCTGAAAAAACTACTTCACTGGGGACTGAGATCGCTAGAGAGGTAAGCCTTTCCTAAGTGAGAGCATTGTGTACAGAGGTGGTCAATGGGCTCTCTGGTCCAGAGAACTGTACGCTGGCATAAAATACTGATTATAAAATTACTAGATAGATAGAGACAAGAGTTAAACATGATTATGAAGGTGAATAATTAATATTATTTGTATAATTAATTATTATAAGTATCAGCGTGATACACTTTAGAAGAGATAATCTTGAACATTTTTAAATAATAATAAGCAAATTATTAAAATATGACTTATGTGAAAAGAAGAGGGTAAAAACAATCAAACACCTGGTTCTGTGACAACAACTTTCTCTTTCAGTCTGAAAAATATCTTCAAATATTTGCTTTGAAAACACTGATGCGCTGAAAATACTGTGTGATCTCTGTAGCACTCGTCTGAGCTAGCAGAGCTGCAAATCATCCAGTCAGCGTGGTTTGGCTTATTAATAGTTTTGTACATATTAGGGCTGGATGATATGGGCAAAAAAAATCATACCTCGGTACTTTTAGGAGGAATGACGGTATACGATTATATATCTGGTATTTTGCCATAAATGGTAACTTGAGAGTTAAAGCCTTTGTTAAACAATTTTTGAGCAAAATATAATTCAACCACAGAGGGTTCCCTCCCTGTTTACAAATAAACAGCTGCACAAAATCTTTGATAAATAAATTACAGTTCAGTTTTTTCTCCTGCTTAAAACTATAAGTTGCAAAACATTTCAAGTTATAAAAAAAAATCTTTGATAAATACAGTGCGTTTTTTTCCTGCTTAACACTGAACTCAGCACTTCTGTGCTGTTGTGCAAATAACAAAGTAAACAGAACCATAGAGAACATTGTCAGAGCAAAAAAGGAACCCACTTAAATAGTAACAAAACAAAAAGTATTGTAGGATAAAAAAGAACCACATTGAATGTAAATATGAAACGCACAGTATTTTATCACAATTACAGTGTTATAAGAAATTCTGCAAACCATAGTTGTGATTTATAAACGACAATTAAATCAGCTGTATATGTTTTTTTTAGTTACACATTTACATGTCTGTATTGTGCACAATTATTGAACAGTGCACATATCGAAGATATCTAAAGATAAGTCTTTCACTCCATGTACAAAATCCTGCACTTTTTCTTTTGTTTTGACTAAACATGTTTTATTAAATGAGGACATGAAAACGAACAGACTATAGATATATGAGAAGTAACTAAATAATTTTAGAGTACTGTGATGAAATGCTGGTTAAGCATAGACATGTAAACAGTCATTATAACACCAGAACGCAGAGCTAAGTGTTATAATGTAAATGTTAAAATGAGACTGTTGTGTAATTAGTACTGACCTCATAATCCGTAAATAAATTTGTCAAATTTTGGCGTTTTTAATTCTTTTAAACACATTCAGGTGCTGGTTGTCAATTTGACAAGGCTTCTATGTTCGTTCTTACTGTCAATTGCAAAAGAAATGATTGATAAAAGGTTTCTGATAAACCGCTGTGACAGCTGCAGTCGCTGTGTAACGTGCGTGCACGCAAGTGGGGAGTCAGATTTCGATACAACACCGTAGGGTTGTAACGGTATGAATTTTTCACGGTATGATAATCGTCTAAAACAATACCACGGTTTGACGGTTTCGCGGTATACGGTATGTTACAAATGTTACAAAATAATAGAACAGTGAAGCAAATTTGACTTTTTCCAAATAATATATTTTCAGTTACTATAAACAACACCACTTACAATGAACAAATAAAAATAAGAAAATAATAAATAATGTGTCAAAGTCCAAATAAAGTCCAAATAAACATGGTGCAAATCCTCAGTAAAAAATAGATATAAATATTTACTATACTATAAATAGTTACATAACGAAACTAGATTCAATATGGAACATCCTTAGGTTTTATGTGCCAGCATGGATATGGTTGTCTATCGATATGGATTTGGATATGGTTGTCTGCAATGCAGACAAACAGCTGCACCTTCATTTGCGTCTTTTGAAAACAGCAAGAGCAGCAGTTCGTCTTTGCTGTGTCACTGTTTTGTCATGTTTCTGTGCTGCTGTGCATGCAAAAGTACTTAGTATGAGAATTATTTCATGCAAAACTTTTTTTTTTTGCGTTTTATTTAGCCGCGCATAAATGTATGCCTATCTCTCATTCCGTGTTGTTCAAAAAGCTTGGTCCACAAACAAAAGCGAAACCTATGCTTATTGGTTGTGATATAGCGAGTTTGAACCAATCTGAGCATGGAGGAGGGACAATGCATCAATGTATCATGTCTGATTTGTCCGGAGACACAGTGACGAGCGTTTCTTTGTCAAATCAGCGTTGTCAAATTTTGATGACGTAACCGCACTGATTCCGGAGCCTCTGAAAGTCCACGAATGTTATGTGATACAGCACTGGAAAGCTGAGATTCTCTTCTTTATGCCAATCTTTGAATTGTATGAATCGGATCAGCGGATCAAAAGTAATTAAACATTTAAGAGCAATACTTATTTTTAGCCGCGGGCGGCTGTCTCGGTCTTTAAGGGTTAAAACCGTTGATATGCAATTGTTCATGGTATG